AAATGTCAAAAGCTAAAAGTAGATTCAGGTCTACTACCACACACTAAACTGAAGTCAAATGTATTAAAGATCTAAACATTAAACACAGAAACACTAAATCTACTGGAAGACAAAGTAGGTAGAAATCTTGAAGACATATGTTAGGCAGAACGTTCATGAGAAAAACTAAACTGCATGGGAAATACTTTAAAGAATCAGCAACTAGGATCTTATCTTATTGAGAAGTTTCTGCGCATCAAAAAAAATTATGAGCAAAGTGGAAATAAAACCCACAAATTAAGAAAGAATCTTAGCCAACAGTCACACAAAGGATTTCTATCTAGAATATATAAAGAATTAAAAACTTCAATCCCCCCAAATTCAAAGATCCAATCAAAATGGACAACTGAGATTCATACACCCTTCTCAGAGGAAAAATAGAAATGACAAATAAATACAGGAAAAAAAGTTCCACAGCACTGGTCATTCAAGAAATGCAAATTAAAACAACACTGAGATTCCATCTGTCCCCAGAATGAATGGCTCTCATAAAGCAATCAACTAATAACAAATGTTGGAGAGGCTATGGGGGAAAAGGAACACTTCTCCACTGTTGGTGGGCATGTAGACTGGTACAACTTCTATGGAAATTAGTGTGGAGATTCCCTAAAAAGCTAGGATTATAAGTCCATTTGACACAGTTATTCCCCTCCTGGGTATTTTCCCATAAGAACTGAAAACATCATACCACAGTGATATATGTGAATCCATGTTTATAGCAGCACAATGTGTCATAGCTACATCTTGGAAACAACCCAAATGCCCATCAACTGAGGAATGGATAAAAATTATGTGGTATTTTTATACACTGGAATATTACTCAGCTATAAAGAAAGATAAACTTGAGGTTTTTATTGGTAGAAGGATGCAACTAGAGGCTATACTCATAAGTGAAATAAATCACACCCACATGTGTAAGCATCATATTGTCTCCAAGTATAAGAACCTGAAACAGTAAACAAAATCTGAAAGGTTTAGTAGATACAATAAAAGGAAAAGGAAACAGAGCATAAGTGATTAATAATTGGGATAAGAGAAAGAAGAAAAGATGAGAAAAAAAGAAGGGGAAAAAACATGCATATATATTCACAGGATAGCTAAGATGATTATACTACTAACTTCTATTGGTTTTCTGAAGGTAGAAGTTGATTTTTGGGTTTTTTTTTACTTTGATTTTGGTTGATTTTTACTTTGACCAATTTTACATATTTCTATCTGTATATGAGCAACTACACTGAAGACAACAATGTGCACTATAACCACTGCTGAACACCTATCATCTTCTTTTTTTAAATTGTGTTTCATTTCTAATGTCTTCTTTATTATTTTTCTATTCTCTTTAAAATAATGTAAAGTTTGAAAATTAAATAGAGGATCATAGAAAAATCATTCAAACCTTAAATGAACAATATAGGAAACAATTACAATGCATGAAACCAATTAAAAAAGATATCAAGAAAATTAAAAATCCCATTAAAAGTTGGAAAAATCACTTTAATGAAACTGAAGATAAACTGTCAGACCTTGAAAACAGCACTGTAGCTAGCAATTACAAAAAAAGGTCTCTTAAAAATAACAAGGAACCAGGAAATAATTCAAAAGCTGCAAAATGACGCACAGAAAAACAATATAAGTCTTACAGGTGTCAATGAAAAAGAAGGCATAAACATGAATGACATAAAAAGACTATTTGCAGAAATAAATAACAGAAAATTTCCCAAGCATGGGAAAAGAATCTGACATACAAATAAATGAGGCATATAGAGCTCCAACTAACTTTAACTGAAATGAATCTACACCCAGACACATAATAATCAAGATCCCAGAAACTCAGCAAAAAAACATAATATTAAAAGCTGTTAAAGAAACAAATTGCCTATATAGGAAAACTCATTAGAATCACAGCCGATATCTCAACATAAACCATCAAGTCAAGAAGAGCATAGAGTGAAGTATTTCAAGTCCTGAAAGAAAATAACTTAGATCCCAGACTGATGTACCCCACAAAGTATCTTTCAAAATTAATGGAGAAATGAGATAATTCCAAAACAACAACTAAATAAATTCATGACCACCAAACCACCCCTACAAAGAATACTAAAAGATACTGTACAAAGATAAAAATGACCACAATTCCAACAGCAACAATAGAAAGGAACACCAAGCATGGCAAGCAGTTAAAGAGGAAGAAAAAAAAAAAAAAAAAAAGAGGAGAAAAGTAGGGAATCAACAGCAGGAGAATAACAGGACAAAGATAAGCCAATATGCATTAGTGATAGCCATTAAGTAAATGTCCTCAGTTCACCAATAAAAAAACAGACTAGCAGAGTGGATTAAGACACAAAATTCAACAATATGCTATAGATAAGAAACAAATTTAACTCAAAAAGAAATTCACAGACTGAATTCAAAGAGATTCAAAGGATTGAAAAACCAGAAAAAAAGCAGGGGTAGCTATTCTGTTCACGGACAATGTGAACTTCAAACCAAGAATGATCAAAAGAGATAAAAAAGGTCACTACATACTTGTTAGAGGAAAACTTCAAGAGGAAGAGATATAGGATCACAAGTCCGCATCTTGTACAGCAATTAACCACTAAGAAGAATATATGCAGTGTATTATTTGTTGAAACTGTACTTCTGATTTGATTTGAAACTGTCTCATTGCTATCTGTTTATCAATAAAACTGTAGAAAAAAAAATAAAAAATAAGAGGAAGAGATAACAATCATAAATATTGATGCATCCAATGTAGGCACACCCAACTATATAGGACAAATTTTAACAGACAGGAAAAATCAGATGAACAATGACATTATTGTAATGGGGGACTTTACCACACCCTTGCTCCAAAGAGATAGAACAACTAGGCAAAGAAATAACAGAACAAAACCAAACTTATGAAGAAATGAACTTATCAGAGTATTCTACCCAAAAACATCAGAAAACACATTCTTTTCAGCTGCACATGGGATGTTCTCTAAAATAGACCATATATGAGCTCATAGTACACACTTAAGTAAGCATAAAGGATTGAAATTATCCCATGCATATTATCTGATCACAGTGCAAAGAGGTTGGAAATTACTGACAAAAGAAATTACAAAAACTCCATGAACACATGGAAATTAAATAATACCCTCCTGAACAATCAATGGGTCACATATGAAATTCAAGAAGAGGGCTGGCCAAATAGTTCAGATGATTAAAACACCTGCAAGCAGGTACAAGGGCCTGGGTTCGATCCTTGGGCCTGCCATGCCAGACCCACCCCCGGGGATGTGCTATCACAATGACTGAAACTGGGCGTGGTGGTGCACATCTGCAATCCTAGCTCTTGGGAGGCTGTAAACAGGTGGACCACTATGAGTCAGATCTAATAGTGAGACCCTCAACACCCTGTAGACCCTTCCCTAAAATACAAAAAAAAATTAATAAATAAATAAATTAAGTTCAAGAAGAAATTAATATTTAAAATCAAATGAAAATGGAGATACAACTTACCAGAACCTGTAGAACACAAAAAAGCAGTCCTCAGAAGGAAATTGATAGTGGGGAATTTTCATATCAGGAAAATAGAATGAGCCCAAATAACTTTCTGTCTCACCTCAAGCTTTTAGAAAAGGAAGAGCAAATCAAGCACAAAACCCAAAGAAGGCAGAAAATTATAAAGATCAGAGCAGAAATTAACACAATGGAGACTAAGAAAACAATACAAACAATTAATCAAAGAGTTAGTTCTTTGAAAGAATAAATAGAATTAATAAATCCCTAGCCAGCCTTATAAAATTTTTAAATTTTTTAAATATAAAATTACATTTTAAAACAATTCTAAACCCACATCAAGTTATATAATTGACATGATCTCGAGTGGCATTTATCTAAGAAAGAATACAAAGAAAAACTTACACTGACTAAGATTTGCTTGACCATGCTCCAGAAAGATGTAGAGCTGAATAATAAGTTGTGGGCAGCCTTCCAGGTAAGTCTCAAAGAGTCTAAGCATGCTCAGATCAGTCACTGCATCTATAACTTCTTTATCTGAATCAATTTGTTCATCCATGAAGTTATTAGTTTTGCCACTATGCTTGAAAGCCACATGGTAACCTCTTTTCAAGGCAAACCAATACCTAGAAAATAATATGAACATTTATCTTCAGTCATATATTTTTATAAATTTATTTTAAATGATACATAAAAGCAAAATTATGCATATTTGTGGGGTATGATACATGTTCCAATGTATGTATACACAATATAACACTTGAATCAGTTTAAATACATGTATGTCCTCAAAGACTCATACTTTCCTTTTTATCTTTTATTTATTTATTTACTTGATACAGGGTCTCACTGCACAGCTTGGACTCCTAGTGATCCTTTTGTTTCAGACTCCCCAGTGCTAGAATTATGGGCATGTGCCAACACGCCCTGTTTTAGTGGCCAGCGTATTTTTCTTACTGTAAAAAGTATTCAAAATCCTTTCTTCTAGCTTTTAGAAATATGTAACAAATGATTGAAATAGATATTTAAATTTAAAACATATTATAGTAAAAGACAAATTTCCATTAACCCTTCTTAAAACATTATCCCTCATTTCAAATACCCTATGCCATCATTCTTGCCACTTTCTGAAGTTCTGGAAGTCCTACTTCAGTGTGATCAAAACTATAGTGTGACTGAGGGGCATCTGAGAGAAGAAAAATCTTACACAAAAGAATTTCAGGGTGTCCTCATTCACTAGATCTGTCACTGTGTGGTTTATGGCTCTTCCTCAAGGTCAAAATGGCTGTGAAAAGTAAGCATTTTGACAGACTCAGGATGATAAGGCAGCCCCAACAGAGCATTAAAGATACTCACAAAAGAAGACGTCTAGACCTGCTTTACAAAGTGGGAAGAACAATGGGTAAAGTTTTTTGAAGTAAGGAGGAGTAGGAAAATGCCTGTCTTTTACTGTAATAAGTATCTTTTAATTTAAGCATTCACTGTATGTTAGCTCACACCTTGTATAGTATACTATCCTCACTGAGTCATTCTGCACAACAGAATTCTGATGCCTCTCCCCTATGCACCCACTCCTATTCTCCTCACCTTTAGACATTATTATACATGCTAATATATACTTGTAATTTTGGGGTTTGTTTTGAGACACAGTCCTGCTGTATAGTGCAGGCTGGCCTTGAGTTCACTATGTAGTCCAGGATGGCTTTGAATTCACAGTGACCCTCCTGCCTCAGCCTCCTGAGTTCTGGGATTAAAAACGTGTACCACTGCACCCACAAAAAGATCAAAATGTGTTTACGTGCAGAATTTTTCCAAAAATATTGTCTATTAAGCAGAGTTTTTTTATAAATTTTGTGGTGGGTTTACTCAGATTGTGACTTCATACATTTTTAATGTATGTTTGATATACGAGTTATGCAGTTAATCTGTTAACTTTACGTGATCATATTTCATCTTTACAAGAACTGAGATTATTATACATTACTCCCATTTCACAGATGAGAAAATTAAGTCTGGCAAAAGTAGAGTGATTTCCTAAAAGTTTTCCAGAGGAGGAGGAGGAAGGCAGATCTAGGGCCCAAACCTGGGCTTTATGAATCCTAGTCTTAACCTCTACTTTCCAAAAGAAACTGTAATTTCAGTTCATGCAATTTATCTTAACTATAGCACATATATATTACCTTACAAGAAGGTGAGATTTTATTTATATTTTTATAGCAAATTCCTGTTTTTAATAGAATAGTGAAAATAATGTCACACATTTATTTTTGACTAATTCTAAACCAGTCATGAGGAGTGCAATTTCCAGGCAAGCCTAGAAGACTTGCAAGACCAAGTCTCCAAAAATAAGTAATAGCCAGGCATGGCGGTGCACATCTGGAATTCCAGCTCTGGAGAGACTGAGGTAGGAGGACTGCTGCAAGTTCTAGGCAAGCCTAGGGAACACAGTGAGTTTAAGGCCAGCCTGGACTATATAGCGAGGCCCTATCTCAGGGAAAAAGAAAAGTAGTAAAAACAGCTTGGGGGGTAGCTCAGTGGCACAGTGCTTGTTTAACATTTGCAAAACCCTGGATTCAATCTCAGAGGGAGGGAGTTGAGAACATGGTGTCTATCCTCAGTGTATTTTAACCTAATGGGAAGGCCAAATCTGAAATACTTGTAGAAATACAAGGCAGAAGAAATAAATCTCATCACAAATATAAGTTCCATACAGAAGAAAAAACAGGTAGTATTAATACTGCCTAGAATTAATTAATTACTGGCAAGATTCATAGGAGTAGTTGTGTTTGAGTCTTTTCTGGGTATCTTTCACAACAGGAAGTATAATGTTGCTAGTTTTGAAGTAGCTTATAAACCAATAGCATAGATAGTATTACAAAACTTTTAAAGTCATATATATTAACAGTATATACACAGGGCAATTAGTGTATAGCTGCCGACGGGGAGAAGAAACAGAACACAGTAGATAAGAGCTCAGACTCAGCAGGGTATGGTGGCATATACCCATAGTCCTAGGTAGCTTGAGAGGCTGAAGTAATAGGATCATTGGAGAAAATCAGTTTAAATCCAGTTTGGACAACACAGAGGGATCCCAATTCACTCTAACAACCAATAAAAGAGTGTACATTGTAATCACGCTAGAATGCCTAGGTTCCAATATGGGCTCCAACACCTATTTCCTGGCTTAATCTGTGATTCAACTTTCCACATCCAGAAAATAAAGCCAGTTATCGTACCTAGCCTCACTTTGTTGATGTGAATATTAAATGAGTCAAAATATAAAATCCTTAGATCTGTACCTGACACATGTTAAATGTTACGTAAGTGCCTACTGAAAACCAGACAGGTCTGTTTAGGAATGTGTACATTCACATTTCTAGTGACTTCCGAGATTTTTTTTTCTAATACTGCAGGAGAAATCAAAGGCAAATCTATATGAAGTTCTGCTTATCTGAGACTAATTTCATGAGAAAGAGAATATGAACACAATTTTTGAACCAATAGAACACTGTTTCACTTTTATGGGACAAACAGTCAATGGCAGAGAGGTAGGGCAAGGGTGCTTAGCACAGTTTATCTCCACATATTCTTTTTGTTTGTTTGTTTGTTTGTTTGTTTGGTGTTGAGATAGAGTCTTGCTATTATATTCCACGCTGGCCTTAAACTCACTATGTAGCCCATGCTGGCCTCAAACTCACAACAGTCCTCCTGCTTCAGTCTCTTGAGTGCTGGGATTTTAGGTATAAGCCTCCATGCTCAGCTACCTCTACATATCCTTATATTTGAAATAAAATGGTCCTGCCTTCTAGTAATAATAAAACACCTTTTATTAGGCAAAGCCTTCTGCTAGTAACTATGATAAATTGTAGACACAATTTTTTAATAAACAAAAGCACAGAAGACCACCCAAAAATATGAAGGAATGTGAATCCATTCAAGCCTTAAAAGAAGGGAAACACACTACAAAAGACATAAATTTATCTAACGTTCACTCTGAAGGCAGCTCCAGTCCAAACAAACAGCAGAAAGCACACACAGCTCAAGCAGACAGTCATTATCTTTTGGCCCAAACAGTCAGAATACTAAGTCTTGGCCTATTAAATGGTTAAAATTTAAGCAAAGATCTCATAAAAGAGGGAACCACAGAGTGTAGAAGGCCAAAATTTGCATGTGTTTCACTCAAATCCTTCAGTGACCCCATAAGGTGCATATATGGATATTCCAAGAAGCTAAAAAAAAAAAAAAAGCTAGAAAAAATCTAAGATTTTAGCAGCTATAAGAGGGAATAGTAAAAATTGGAATCTCTCCAAATTAAGAGTTAGGTAAATATCTTAGGAATTTTCCTGAAGTATCAAAACTTCCCCGACTTAGGAGTAAAACCTATCTATAACAGTCAGCTTTCCATCACTGAGTTACAGTGACTGATACCCACAATTTAAAGGAGGAGAGTTCACTTAGTTAATGGTTTAAGGGATTCAGTTCATGGTGGGCTGGCTCAAAGGCAAAAAATATCATGGTGAAGGAATGTAATCAAGCAAAGATAGTTCCTGGTGACTGGGAGGCTTAGCAGGAGAACAGTGCCAGAGATAAAGGAATATATATAGACCTCAAGGCCATGCCTTCATGATTCACCCAGACATATCTAAAAGTATGCATTACTAATCCCACTGGCTGCTCCCAAGTCAATCAAGTTGACAATACACCTTAACTGTCACAAAAACCATACATTAGAACTAAAACATTGTTCCCCAGAGCCAAGGCCAAAAGCCAAATAAATATTCCTATGAAAGCTAAAACCAAGACTTTGTAGGCAACTAGGCAATTTGTCAAATAATTTAATTCCTTTCTCATCACAGGATAACAGAAACTAGTGTCTCTACAAAGAACCAATCTCCTACCTTGTGATGTTCACAACATAGTAAAAATTTACTTAACATACAACTGAACAGGAAAATGTGACCCTCTGGTAAAGAATAAAAAGAGTTAGTAGAAACATACCAGTTAATAGAAACATAACTATAGATGATCCAGACATTAAATAGACAAACAAAAAGTTAAAATAACTACGATAAATGTGCTTTTAAAAATCTGTAAGGAAGAGATGGTAGAGTGGTGAACAGCAGAGAAATAGTTTCTCTGCGACTTAGTATCCAGACATGGAATATAGCAATGTAAGGAAGAAAAGAGGAAAGTGGGTGCTTGCAATCCAGCAAAGATCTGAAGCAAGAATTAATGCCCACAGGGAGAATGAAGAGAGAGACCTCAATGCAAAAGTAAGTGGCAGGCTTGCCCCCTGAGCCCTGGCTTATTATATGGGAGGGGTGGCTGAAACCTGCATACACATGGTGACTGCTGACAACCCCAGATGCCTCTACTGAGAAATGCAACCAAGGAATAGAGCAGTGGATGTGGTGGGATGCAGTGGCTAGTGAGCTATTCTGGTTCAGACAGCCCCCAGTAAAGGGAGACTGACCTGCTACCATCATGGAGAAGAGCCAATCGAGCTCAGAGCACAGAACAGCTATGGGGTAGCTCGACCTAGTTGCTCCCAGTGCAAGGGTAAGGCTGCTGAGTTCAAGCTGATAGGGAGCCAAGCTGAAGCAGGCAGGAGGCACACAGAGTGTTGCTGGCTGAATAACTTGGTTTCCAGCCTCACAGCCAGAAACCATCCTCAACTTCAGTGGAACTAGTGGTGCAGTCTTGCCGCAACTATCCACTACCCCACTGAAAATCTACCGCAGAGATTAATCAATACAGATCTAGATCTGGGCTTTGTCTGACCACTCTGTCTACCATTGACAACAGAGACATGTCCACTAAAGTGGACATTTCCTTTTGTTTGGCGGGGAGTACCTTTTTCTATTTTTTTTTTCTGGATTGTTTGTTCTTATTTTTATATGAATACAAATATTAATTCTAGTTTTTTGTTGTTTTTTCCTTCTGTTCTGTTTTTATTTCCTTCTTTCTTTCCTGTGTTTTTCACCAGTTTCCCAAAGTTCTTGTACCTTTCCTGTCTCCCAGCCTTGCTTCTAATCTTTCTTTTCTTCTATTTCTCTGTTTTACCCCTAACCCCTTCTGAATTTTCTTGTCCCAAGGGTAAAAATCACCATACTTACTATAAACAATCTTCTGGTTTGCTTTAAATTTTGCTATATAACCACGAATCTAGTTTATATGCTTAAAAGTGGCAAACCAATAGCTACCATACTTGGTCATATCAGTCAATACATATCACTCAATCATGTCACTCAATCAAATCATCAGTGTAAAGGTCTCAATTCACCAACACAAGAAACACACTGGCAGAACAGATTAAGAAGCAAGAGCCAACAATATACCACATATAAGAAACACATTTAATTCAAAAAGAAATTCAGACTGAAAGTCAAACAATAGAAAACAATACTTCAATAGGAACTCAGGGAAAAGCAGGGGTAACTTTCATTTGCAAATGAAAAAGATTTCAAGCCACGACTGATTAAGACACAAAAGTCACTACATCTTTGAAAGGGAAAAATCTAAAAACAAGAGATAATCATAAGTATATATTCACAAAATGCCAGTGTACCCACTACATAAAAAATATTAAACATGAAAAGTCAACTAAGCACTAATACAACTGTAATGTTTCATGATAAAAAAACTCTATATAAAATTGAAATACATAGTCTTTATCTCAATCAATTAAAAACCATCTATAACAAAACAACAGCTAGCATTATACTAAATGGACAAAAACTGAAAACTTTCACTCTAAAACATTAGCCAGAAAAATTAGACAAGGGAAAGAAAGAAAAGGAGTAAGAACAGGAAAGGAAAAAGTTAAATTATCATAATTTGTGAATGACATGATATAGAAGATTCCAAAAACTCCACAAAAAGACCTCTACATTTAATAACCAAATTTGGCAGCATAGCGGGATACAAAGTCAACACTTAAAAATCAATAGCCTTCCTGTACATAAATAACAAACTCACTGAGAGAGAAATTTTTTAGGAAAATTACACCTTTCACGATAGCATCCAAAAAAAATGAAATACCTATGAATCAATCTAATGAAGGAAATAAAAAATATATACATGGAAAACTACAGTACCATGAAGAAAGAGACGGAACAAGGTATTAGAAAATGAAAAGATATCCTCTGCTCTTAGACAGGAAAAAACAATATAGTGAAAATGGCTATCCTTCCAAAAGTCTTATACAGAATTAATGCAATCCCAATCAAAATACCAGCAGTATAACTCACAGAACTAGAGAAAGCATTCCTGAAGTTCATTTGGAACCAGAACAGACCTAGAATAGCAAAAGCAATGGACATCACAATCCCTTAATTGAAATTATATTACAAAGCTATAATGATAAAAAAAATCATGGTACTGAAAAAAGAAAAAAAAAAAGATAAGGATAAATGAATGCAGAAGGATAAATGAATGCAGAAACAACTCCAAACACACTAAGCCACCTTACCTTTGACAAAGGGGCCAAATACTTTCACTTGAAGAAAGAGATCCTCTTTATAAATGATACTAAGAAAACCAGCTTTCCACATGCTGAAACTATATTCATATCAATCACTATGCACTAAACTAAAATGAAATGGATTAATAATCTAAATATTAAAACAGAAACATTGAATCTGTTAGAAGACAAAACAGGTAAAACTCTTGAAAATATAGGTATAGACAAAGACTTTGTGAACAAAACCCCAATCTCACAGGAAATATCAGAAAAAAAACAACCAGGATCTCATCTTATTAAAAAGTTTTTATGGGGCCAGGGAGATGGCTAGTAGAATAAGCATTTGCCTGGCAAACGCAAGGGCCTGAGTTCAATTCCCAGTTCCGCAAAAAAAAAAAAAAAAAAAGTTTTCACAGGCCAGGGAAATAGCTCAGTGGCATAAGTGCTTGCCTGGCAAGCGCAAGGTCCCAAGTTTGATTCCCGGTACCAAAAAAAAAAAAAAAAAAGTTTTTGCACAGCAAAAGAAACCACTAAGAGTGAAGAGACATCCCACAGAGTGGGAAAAAATTTTGCCAGCTGTTCCTCAGAGAAAGGACTAAAATCTAGAACATATAAAGAACTCAAAAAATTATACTCCTCAAATTTAACAGAATAATTATCCCTCAGGTAATAATTAAAATGTCATATTAAATTAGAAGTACAAATATTCATGAAATTCTCAATGTCTACTTAGTTTCTATTTTTTCAAATTGAAAGTAAAGCTTTAACCTGTTTTGGGGGTTGTTTTTGGTTGTCATATGTCTCTGCACCTAGATAATTATATGCCTACTGATTATAATAAAATTTTCATTTAGTCAAACCAGTAGTAGAATATTTAAAAATAAGTATTTTTCTAAGAGTTGTAAATGATAGGCTACATTTGCACTATTAGACTTAGAATGCATATAAAAGGATCAAAGTGAGTATACAGCAGAAAAAGTAACTTAATGAGGTAACTTAAACTGCTGTGTGAATGAATCTGGAAAAGTCTGACAGCACAGCAATGACTCATATAAATACCAACAGGGAAGAGAAAGTAACCTTTGTGCTACTTACAAATAGGAGACCTTTGCCCATTTGACTTTCCAGACAGAAAAAGCTAGTTAATGTTTGGATAAATGAATACCAATATTAGTGATCAAAAGTGTTGACTCACCTTACAAAAACTCCTCCTTGCAAGCAATGAAGTAGAAGAAAACAGTGCTGATTTTCTTGGCCTGCTTTCTTTAAATCAGTTTTGAACCAAGAATAACTAAAACACTGGGCTACTAGTGTTCCAAAAAGCATAAAACTTAATGTTAAAACACCAAAAACATATTGTCCTTCAAGGGAAAATTTGACAGATATCCAAATGTCCACAATTAAATCAGTTATATAGATTATAATGCCAAGAACTGACATCATAAAATTGCATTTAGTGTATTTCATTATGAACAACTATAGCTCTTAGCTATCTACTCTCTTCTCTTCTCACATATGAAAAAAAAAAAATTCCAAGACAAATATCAGCACATATTTTGGTATGGCACTGAATTTTAATTTCTACTCCCTAAATCAATTTAGAAAAATATTAAGTATTATGAAATGAGAACAGAAAAGCTGAAATGACTAATTTTAACTTTCTTTTTTAAGTCTCAAATCTAAATCAGGTGTTACTCAATCTTCTCTTTTACAGTGATCTTCACTACAGATGACAATACCTAAAATGAAATAAAACAAAACTATAAGTTTCTAAGAATCATAAATTTAAAGCCTGAACCTTGATTTTATCTATTTTTCTAAGAATAATATATTGCCACTAAATACAGGTCTTCTAATAGCTTTTAGAAAGTAAAGACTCAGCAACCTACTTACTAGTTGATAACTTCCTCTCAGAGTATTTCCTTTCAGATAAAATATTTATCTTTTAGAAATAGAATTCTCTCAACAGAAGTGTTTACCATAGGATCATGTATAATGGTAGAACCTGAAAACAGCCTACATGTGTCATCACAAGAAAATGATAAAGTAAACAAAGATGTACTTAAATGGTACATTACAAACTTGCTAAAATAAATTTACTAAAGGTAGAATAGCTGTGAAAATTCTTATTATGTTTTTAACACAGAAATTGCCTGAAGGATTCTAGCCTATGGAAATGTTCACAGATATGCACAAAGACATGTACCCTTGCAGTCTTTTTTATAACAACAAAAAACTGAGAACTAGCTAAAGGACAACTGAGAGGCCTAGTTCAACAAATCATAATATATCCACAGTAAAGGATATATCACACAACCTTTAAAAAGTATGAAGTGACTTTACTTAAACTGACTTCCAGAGATCTCCAAGAAGTATTAGGTGAACACAGCACCAGAAACATAAATGGAGCCTTTAAGGTTTTTCATTATACAGTATACTGACAGTGAAAGGGAATGGAGTACAAGACGCAAATTCATTTACTCTCCATGCATCTAACTAGGTTTTACAACATACTCATGCACTCATGCATTATTTTTATAAATTCTTAGAATAAAAGCAATGGTAAATGATTCTTATATGGACTTTTGTTGAGTAGAAAAGATGTTTATTCTACTAATGAGGGCTAAAATTTATGTAGCATTATGTGTCAGGCACTGAGCTAAATGTTATATATAAAATGTCCTAATTTAAATTTACCAAAATATAACAACCACTGTTAATTTTTTATTCTTATTTTGAAATTCTGTACCATTTGCATTGGTGTATGTTGCTTTGTTTCTGTCTTTGCTCTTCTTGTTTTTGTTTTTTCTCTTTAAAATAAATAAAAATAAAAAATAAATTTACCAAAATTAAAATGTAGATACCATACTACTATTACAATATCTACTTCATAAATTTGTGCTAAATGAAATCTGTAGACAATATTTTTATGATTCAAGTGTTTGTGTTCCACATAATTCTGCTATCAAAAATAACCCTCCACTACTACTTCATGAGCAGTAGCTACCTGTTTCATGTAGTACACTTTATACGAGGTTTACCACAGTAGCTATCTTGCCCACTTAGTCATTTGAAAAGCTGAGTCTCAGTATTAATGGAGCTGCCCATTTGTTCTGTGTCCTTAAACATTTTCTTTTCTTCCTTGTTCATCTAAAATAGAAGATAATAACGTATATGCTTTAGAGAGTAAAGTACTCTCCATCCATCCCTAGGAGAGTACTTGACACAGAGCTCAAGAAATGTTAGTTATCATTACCATGCATTTCTGAGTTTTGAATCCCTTATTTTCTTTTATATTATGTAAAGGAAAAAAAGTACTATGGCATGATGCCTAAGAGAATCCACCACAAACCAAACCTGATAACAACTTGAATTTGTATTTAAGTCTCCAGTATGTGAGAAAATTAACTTATGTTGTTTAAACAAAAAAGTCTGTAGTATTCTGTTAAGCAAACCAGAACAGCTAATATACTATATCATCTATAAAGAATGTTTATTACTTGAAAATCCCAGAGGTGAAAGAATACTTCAATACAGGTGGTGTTCTTCTCATCCTATTTAGGGCAATTTTCTTATTTTCTGAATAATATTAAAAGGTATTTTACTCTTTTTACAGACTAAAACAAATTTCATAATAACTACTTTTCTTGACAAAATGCCATTACCAACAGAATTGAAAAATAATTTTAAATTTTGATTTTCCTAATTCCAATTTTTACAGGCCATAAATTTCCCTGAAGTAAGTTTCTCCTCTTGATATGAAAAACATCAAGTCCAACAAATACATGCGTTTAGGAGGATGAGACTGATGAGGAGGTTTTGTTCAATTGAATTAATTAGAGAGTTACTTAGAAGCTATTATGTGGTGTTTTTTAGACTGTCAGGGTAAATCAAGTAATGAAAAAGTCAAAAATACCTCCCCCACAAAAAAATTGAAAGGAAATCACTCCCCTTGTGAAACTTATATCCTAACACAAAAAGTGAACTAACAATAAAAACAGTAAGTAAATAAAATATAGCAGAAAGTGACCAATGCTATTCAGGAGAAAAGCAATGTATTAAGAAAGACCAGGTCTGTAATCCCGGCACTTGGGAGGCTGAGGCAGGAGGATCATTTCAAGCTCCAGACTAGCCTGCGCTACAAAGTGAGCTTAAGGCTAGCCTGAACTGCATGGCGAGACTCTGTCTCAAACACACACACACACACACACACACACACACACACACACACACACAGAATACTGGGAGTTGGAAAAGATGTGGGCACATTATAAACTAAAATTCTAATTAGACAAGTCAGGTACCGACTGAGAAGAAGGCATGTGAGTAATAGAACTAGCCATGTGAATATCAAATGGAAAGTTTCTCACATGGAAATAACAGCTAGAGTTCAAATATATTCACCAGAAACAGAAGTTCCAGAATATTGGCAAAGATTTCTTTAGTAAAAAGCAAAAGATTTATACAATCTAAAGAGAAACCAGAGTATTGGCAAAGATTTCTTAGCATAATTGTATTGGGTATGTTTAATTTGTTTCCAAATCCTGTTCCAACATTATTAAAAATGTAACTTTTTAGAATTTACTGTCTAGGAGAAAAATCCACGTAGACTAGAAGAACAAATAGTATAACTGTACCCACTCTTACTAAGTGTTACTACTATAGGGGAAATGTTTTATGCTATTTCATTAAATATATTATTTCACTAAATCCTCACAAATTCCTATGAGAAAGGTATTATTAGTCCCATTTTGCTGATAAAATATTGAGGGCTAGAGATATTAGATATGAAGGTGTATTATCTCTACTAAGTAAAGTCTGTTTGCCTCCAATGCTTGGGTCATAATAACAACAATATACTACACAGGCTATGAAGGGGGAAGAGAAAACATTAAAAGCTGCTTGAATACGATGCATGGGCATAGCACCTACAGCTTAAGATAGTTGAAACAGTATATTACTATTCTCTGTATTAAAAAATGCAAAAGAATATAGTTAAATTACAAAGGATGTGAGGCTAGGAAAAACTAACCCAAAACATGTTCAGAATAGTAAAACTTGACTAAAATGTAGCAATTCTACTAAAATTTCATATCAGGTGATTTTAAATGTAAACAACTTCTTTAAAATTACAGACAATTTTAGTGGGGAATTTCTTAATCTGTACCCACAAAAAAACTTCACTTGTCATGAAAAGTGAAACTACAGCAATTTTATGTTAAGTTCTACAAAGTGAGAATTATTTCTAAAAAAACAGGAATTGAATTATTGACAGAACATTAAACAGATTAATCTTCACTTTCTGTGTGAATATGACAATGTCCATATTCCTAATTAAATCAGGCAGAACATAACTCCAAACGGAAGAGAATCTAGCAGTTCTCATAAAGACAGCCTACAAAAGCCAACTGTAAGTTGTATTAAAGACAATTTATCTGTACTTCTACATCTAAACACATTACTGCAATACCACTTTAGGAAAAGTAAAACCACCTACAAAATTTTTTGCTGCTAAGGGACTTGTTATACTTATGGATTTAATAAGACAATTTCAGCTCAATTTTATTCTGAAGTCAGCCTAGCTATGCTGCTACCTGGCTGCCACCCAAAGTACATAACCTTTACCCTTGTACATGATCTCCCTTCAGTAAGATGTTTGAAGAAAAAAAAATAAATAAAATTTAACCCATAGAAAATGCAGACTTACTTGTCATTATAAAGTCTTCTTTAATTCAAAATCCCTTCTGGAAAAATCTTCATCCTGTGAATTTTTTATTTCTTCTTCACTGAAAATAAGCATAATTATAGGACTTATAACCCTTTAAGCTTCAATACTAATAGGAAACTGAAATCAGCTGTTAGTCACATGTGGTATTTTCTAATCTAGTGATAACAGCCTGTATCAGTATAGGCCTCATACACCTCTTTTACAATTACCTCACTGAGGAAAACAAATAAATGGCTCCATTTATTGGTTGACTACATTCCAAGCTTTCATTGTATTTGTCAATTAAGTCTTAAATATTACAGCATAACCAGGTGAGGTGGCACATGCCTGTAATCCCAGTGCTTCGGGAGACTGAGGCAGGAGGGTTGTTGCGAGTTCAAAACCAGCCTGGGCTACAAAGTGAGCTCGAGGCCAGCCTGAACTGCATAGTGAGACTCTGCCTCAAAAAAAAAAAAAAAAAAAAAACAGCATATACACAGAAGATACCACTGAATGACAAGCCAAGTGTGTCAAGTATTCAGATTCTTAAATTTGAAATACTCTGATAAAGAATTTACAAAGTATCAGTAACTCAGTCTTTACTGAGGTTCATATCTAGATGTTCCCCAAAGCCTTATGCACTCACAGGTGAGACTTTGGAGTGATGACTGGATCATGAGAATGTGATATTTATGAGTAGACACAGCTACTGATGAGTTTATAGCTAAGTATGTTTCAAAGTAAGTCCTCTGTGGTGGTGGATCTTGGGGGTTGTGGCAGAGAAGGGTTAGCTCCTGTCCTCATCCTCTGATTCCTGCCTCCCATTGCCATGGCATGATCTCTTTCTCTTCTGCCATGTCCCACTTCCATTCCACCCCACCTTGGAGCCAGATGACTATGGACTAAGACCTCCACAAACTATGAGCCTGTTTTCCTTTAATTTCTGTGTGTTGGGTGTATCTGCAATGAAAAAATAACTAAAACATGTTTTAGTATCACAAAAGTGTGGTTGTTACTGTGATGCTACCTGGCCATGTGATTTAGAAGTCTTTGGACTTAGCTTGCAGGAGCAGTCTGGAAAGGTTTGGAGATGCCAATTGGGGAAACACTAAAGTGAGCTAGAAGCACGCTGAGGCTTAATGAATCATGCTAAGCTTAGTGGGAGATTCTGGTCAGAACTCAGAGCACAATGCTGATAAAAATGCAATTGGTAAGACTAGGCTCAGGAGGTTTCAGTTGCGAACAAAAACTCCAATGGCAGTTGGATTAGGCCATATATGTTACCCTCTGTCAGAAATTTTGTGTACATTTTATTCCTGTCCTGAGACACTGCCATAGGCTAAGATTAAGGGCAGCAAACTAATTAACCTGGTAGAAAAAATTTCAAGGCAATCTAATGTTGAGACTGTGACATGGCTGCTATTGAGGACTTTTAGCCTGCTCAACCTTGAGATTCAAGAGCAAAGAGCCCAGCAGAATGACTTAACAAGTCAGAAAAGTAGCCCTAGTAAAGTTGGGGCCTGCAAAGATTGAGCAGAAGAAAACTTAGCTGCTGAAAAGATTAGCATTAAAAGAAGTCAAGTACTTTGAAAATGTACAATAGAAAAAATACCTGAGAGAGTGTGAGAGACCAGGAAGGCCCTAACCTTCAGGCTCAAATTTGCAAAGGTGAATAACTTTGCTTTGAAAAGAGAACCCTAAAGTGCCATGTAACAGATTAGTGGCTGCCTTAGGAATTTGTTTCTCTGGATTCAGTTCACAGTGATCAGCCATCTAGGAACTTAAGAGACTCCCTAAAGCTGGGATTAAAGGAAGCCTGGCTACTGCTCCAGCTGGTAGCAGACCTTGGCATCATTAACATGGTGCTGGTTTTATATATACGCAGAATGCAGGAGATATGGGGTCAGAGAGACTTCCACCTGTATTTCAGAAGAAGGCCTGGGAGGCCAAGCAATATGCTCCTAAGAAGGCAGTACATGAGGCAAGCAAGTGGAGATGTCAGAATGTAGGAGAAGCCAGGAACCTAGAATGTCTGAGGTAAGTTACAAGAAGTGAGAAAAGATGGGCCAAGAGAGAACCCAAAAGGACTACAACCACCAGTAATGTTAGAGTAGGGCTGTCCAAGTCTCTTGGAGTTCACATTTTACTACAGATTACCCCAGGTGTTGTACATAAACTCATGGATTTTAATGTTTAACATGCTGGATTTAGGTCTTGTTTTGGTCTCATTCCTTTCTATCCTGTTGTACCTGTTAGAATGGCAATGTTTATCTTGTGCCACTGTTGTTGTAAGTGTTTAACTTTCTTTTCATTTTTATATGGACCCACACCTACTAATTTGCTTTAAATCTCAGGAGTCTCTGAATTTGGACTGTTTGGAAATGAAACTGTCAGGACTTTGTTTGCATAAAAGGATGGGCATGAGCCCTTTGAGGGTGAGAGGCAGAATATTACCATATATATCCACACATTCTCTCATGAGGATATGCTCACCTCATGCCCCAGAAGCAAAAGAGACAAGAGTGGCACAATCCCATCGAGGGTGTGTCCTTACTAACATGAAGATCTCCCACAAGGCTCCACATCTCAAAGGTTACATTACTTCTCAATAGTGGCACTGACTAAGGTCTAAGCCTTAAATATCTTCTAAACAAATAGTATTCTTCCCTTCCACCTAGAAATTCCACTAGAAATTCACTTTACCTGCACTTTTTGAGGATTTATTCACATTTTAAAATAATGCCATGTACATCTACTTCATAGTTATGATCATCTTGAAAGCACAGATTAGCTCACTCATTTTAACACCCCCATATTCCTATAATACTTCACAGACTGTAAGCAAATAATAAATGCTTATAAATACAACTCAACAGAACATAAAAATCTTTGCTCTTATTTCTTGGAGAGGAAGTTAAACTTCAAGTCACATTGCAAAATATATCCCAAAAAATTCAGCTTTTATTTATAGTCTAGATCTCACTTCTAAGCTCAACCTATATACAATATGCCACAACCACTTCAATTTCGGGTTTTTTAACCCATGTTCACTTGCCTTTCTGTTCTACCATTATCTTATATGACCTTATGAAAATCACTTGATTGACATCATTTATTAGGTCAGTTTCTTCATCTGTCAAATGAAGAGCTTAAAAATGGATTAAATGAAATTATGATGGAAAGTACAAGGGATATTGTAGTGATTAAAAGATGGGAAAAGTAGTGGCCAGAATCTCAGGAAAACTATGATTCCAAAATTACTACCTCATTCTATTCTCCAGGATTCAATGATTTTCCAGCAGCAATCTTAAAGAGGGAGAATAAAGGTAGCTTCCTGCTAAATAGCCATTAACTGATGACTATAAATAAATATTGTTAGGATGAAAATGTCTGATAGATTTTGATAGGTACTCCAAACATCTTTGAAAGGCACACTGTTTATTGCAAAGATGATTTAAAATGAGTAATTAAGTAACCACTTTGGAAACTTTTCCATTAAGTGTACATTTTTGAGACAGAAGACAAATTTCTCATAAATAAATGTTTTTCAATTGATCTATTAAACTGCTGACTTGTAAACTAAATGTCACTAACAAGTAATCTCTTCTAAAAGCATGCTAAAAATACTTATCCTAAATTTTAGAATTATCCATTTAGCATTAAATTGCTCATTTCTTTAAAAAAAAAAAAGTAACAACATAAGAAACAACATTATGTACTGAAAACTTGTACAAAAACAGACAAGAGAACAAGATGGGTGCAAGGGGGAAGATCAGAAAAAGTGGAATTAGTATGTATTTTGTACATATACTAACTCCCCATAAGGAATGTATTATGTACTACAAACATGTACTAATAAAAAAATTTACAAAGTACAGTGAGAAGTAGGTATGTTCCACACATCTTTGGGAGTAGTTGACACAATTGTAATTTGAAGGAATTGGTTCACAGGACTATGCTTTTCCTTTTTTTTAGGTAACTTATAATTCAAGTTTTAAAATTATTTTTCAACTTTGCCATTTAGAAAAGGACTTGTTGGTCAAGACCCTTCCTTCTTGGGCCCAAAACTCCACAGACCAACCTGCTTCCCCATGGGAACAACAAACCTCAGAAGACCATGGTGCAGTCCTTTCTGGGCCATAAGTAGGGCTCTTCCTGATACTGCGCAGCCCCCACCATCACCACCACCCTCTTTCAAAATTACACGCGCACAGGAGTGCTGGTGTGGGAGAGACAGGAGGCCTGACACAAAAACTGGGTTTAAAGAGCTGTTAGCTGGGCAAGCATCCCAAGCTTCGTTTTTCATTTATAAAATGGAGATAAAAGACTGCCTGTCTCTTAGTGCTGTTCTGAGGCTTGAGATGCGCGCAAAAAGGATCCGGCCCGGAATTAAACGCCATACACTGGTTACCGCTACTTAGAATTGAGTCGCACTCCACCAAGGTCTCTGAGCGGCAGTGCGTCCCAGGACTTGGTATTCACCCTAAACTGCCTGCCCTCGATCACCTCCCCTAGTTAGAGCATCTCTCAACCATCCAGACGCACTTGCTTGCCAAAGCATAGTCCTCTGAGGCAACGGGACCCTGCGTGTGCCACGGCACCCGCTTCCGGCCTCCTCTCGAGCCACCCCGGAGCACCTCAGACTGGCGCCAGAAAATTCGTTCTCGCCGCCGCCGCCGCCGCCGCCGCCGCCGCTCACACAAACCACGCGGCGTCAGGTGGTATCTGGCCACGCCCCCGGCCCGCGGTAGGTCCCGCCTCCTGCCCTGTGGCTACCAGGACCGGCGCGTGGCCCCGCCCAGTCCAGCTCCTCCCCGGCGCGCGAGGTGTCACGTGACTCTCCCCGCCCCTCAGGCCTGCTATTTGGCCCCGCGCGGCGGAAGCCTGTTTCAAGTGGAACGTAGAGGCGGAGATGGCTGTTGCGCTACCCTACATTGAGAGGCTGTCCTGTCGGGTGGTGCGCGTGTTAGGCTGTAATCCGGGTCCCATGACCCTACGAGGCACCAACACCTACTTGGTGGGGACCGGCTCCAGGTAAACGTCCTGTCCGCGCCCGCACAGTGGACCCTGGGCTGCGGCTCGCGGGGCGGCGGCGCCTGCTCCGCCCGGGCGAAGGGTCTCAGCGCCGGGCCCCAGCCCAGCCAAGCAACTAGGTGGTAACAGAGGGCGAAGTCGGGTTAAAAAACAGAAAAAGGGAAATCCTGCCTTCGAGTCCCTATTTACTTTGCTTCACGTTTAAATGCCAGTGCGACCGTGTTTAATTGCAATCTCTTGGCTTCAAGAGTCCAAGAGAAAAGCAGTGCTCTGCTGTCGTGACTTTGCCTGATAGTTTGCGTGGAATATAATATAGCCTCCTCTCGCAGTAACAGTTAATTGTGCTGGCGACATTTCCTTAACTCAGCGACAGAGGGCAGGATTTTCTGGCTTCCAACTTACTTGACGGTAAAACAGTGTATGTGTTGGAAGGAAATGCTGACCTTAACTGGGTTTTGTTAGAGTTGTATGTGACAAGTGTAGCTCCTTGAGTTTTCGTTTGAAGTATCGGCAGTATTTTACCCTTTTTCAGTAAATAAGAATTTCTAAAGCAGGAGAATAGGAGAGACTGGAAATATTGCAACTGATGTGGGAAAAAGATTTAAATCCAAAGTAAAGTAGGTGCAAGACCTTTCGTCAGTCTTAACCCCGGTCCCTGCACTTGCCTAAGCAGGTGCATAGTCCGTTGACCTATCTGACCAGCCCTATCAGCCATGTTAAACTGCTTCTAAAGTCAGTACTTAAGAGGACAGCCACGTATATAGTCGGAATTACCCTGGAAAATCTTCTGGGAGACCACCATGGTGAGGATGAGTGTACAGCCTCAGTAAGGGCAACACAACCTGCTTTTCTTACAGCTTAACAGAGATTGTTTGAAAACAGATGAAAGACCAGTTGTGGTGGCTCACACCTGTAATCCCATTGCTGAGGAGACTGAAAACAGGAGGATCACTACAAGTCGGAGTTGTGTAGTGAGACCCAGTATCAAATATGTAAAAAAAGGAAAGAAAACCAGATGAAATTGTCTTCCATTTAGAAGCCATGTTGTATAAAAAATAGTGACTATCATTAAACACTAGAATCACACTCAGCACACTCAGCTCATGCTAAAGAGACTTAAAAGATCTGAAACTAAAGAAAGAGCAAATTCATGGTCTATCACCTGATACTACTTAACATTATTACATAAACTCATGAAGTGGAATGGCCAGATAGCTAACTGGTTTCTTAAGTCTCTACTCTCATGACTCAGCCATTTGAAACATTTCCCAAACTGAATTTCTGGTCTCTCCTACTAAACCAGGTCCTTCTCCAGTCATTCTGGTGTTGGTAAACAAAACTGTCCCTGTGTCTATGAAAGGTAATGCTTAAGTACACTCCCTGACATTTCCTCACTTCCTGCCACACACCACAGAGTTCTTCATGTCCACTGCTGTTAGCCAGTACAACTCTTGCACAGGCTTCTGTAATATTCTTCTAACTGGCTTTTGTGCATCAACTCTTGACCCTTTTCAATTCATCCACCAATATGTAACCAGAGTAGTTAAAAAAAAAAAAAAAATGAAAATGGGAAGGCCTTGTATATTCTGGCTCCACCTTCCTCATCAGGCTGATCGCAAATCTGTTCCCTCATTCCAGCTAGGCCGGCTCTCCTATGTGTGTTAGATGAGTTGCATCATTTCTGCCTGGAGACTTCAGTGTACAGTAGTGTCTGACTTTCACTCACCCTTTAAGGCTCATTTGAAGTTCCATTACCCCTCAGAGGCCCTCTGTACCTCCTCAAATTGTGTTAACTCAGTCCCATATGCTGTCTTAGCACTCCATACTTTTCTTTTTTTCCATACTTTTCAAGGAGTACTTTACTCCACTTCGTGTAAGATGTTTAATGTTTTTCCCTACTTTCAAACCTCATTAGAACATAAGTTGACTGAAGATGTATTAATTGCTGCCCCCAGTACAATAAATATTTGCTGAATGATTATTATTTACATTCTTTGGCTTTTTTTTAAACTTGTGATACCAAAACTGCTGAATAACTGCAGTTTTAGCTAGTCTTCCTCTGGTTCTTGTCATTCTGTGAGTTCCAAATAAATTTCATTGGAGCACTAGTAGATCTGTGAGATTTAATTATGTAGGTATGTAGTAAGCATTTGAATCAATAGACAATAGCTCAGATTGCCAGAATATTTCCACATTCCTCCATTACTCAAGAATTTGCTCAGCTAGGTGTAGTGGTATACACCTATAATCCCAGTTCTGTGGGAGGCTGAAGCAGGAAAATTATAAGTTTGAGCTCAGCCTGGGTAACTTAGCAAAACCCTGTCTCAAAAAAAGAAAAATTGAGGTCGGGGAGGAAGGGTCTACAGAGTGTTCAGGGTCTCACTAATAGATCGAACTCATAGTGATCCACCTGTTTACAGCCTCCCAAAACCTGGGATTATAGGTGCCTGCCACCACACCCAGTGTCAATTGCCATTTTAACGCACCCCGGGGGCAGGGCAGGCCCAGGGATTGAACCCCCAGCTCCTGCGCCTGCTTGTAGGCGCTTTAATCTGCTGAACTATTCAAAATTTTAATGAAAAGATTTTTTTTAAAGGCTGTGGCTGGGTAGTAGCTCAATGTGAAGAGTTTAGTCCCCAGTACAAAAAATAAAACTAAAAAATAGAAAACTCTGTTACAGTTTTAACTTTTCATGTCAAAAGGCTGCATACTTTGAGGGTAGGTATTGTCTTTTATAACATGAAATCCCAATCCAGTAGAGTTACAACTGTGGAGCCTAAGAATCTTGGTTATCTCAGTTCAAATCCTGGCTCCATTTACTAGATACATAACTTTGAACAGTACAGTTATCTTTGTAAGCTTCACATGCCTTATCTGCAAAACAAGGGTCATATAGTACCCACCTCATAGGAATACTATGAGGATTCAGTGACATCTAAATGAAGCATGTGTAGAAAACAATAAATGTTAGCATATGATGTTAGCTATTCATCACTTCTACTTTCCTTATGATATCTAGACATTAGGATCATACTAGATAGCCATCCCAGGGCAAGGATGTAGCTCAGTGGCAGAGTCTTGCACTGCAGGAACAAGACTCCTAGGTTCAATCCCCAGTCCAGGGGTATGGGGAGACAGCCATCAGATTTCTTCCTGTCTACTTACCTATTTTAATCCGCTGTAAAAACTTTCTGCTGTTACTTTTGTTGTTTTTTATCATACACAGCCTAACCCTTCCCATCCTTCATTAGAAAATAAGGAGGGTTGCTTGTCTTGATTTCTGCATGCAGTGAAGGCATGCCTATAGTAGGTAGTCGGTAAACCCCTCCTGATGAATGAATTGAGACTTTTCATCAAGACTCTTCTCTCAACTTTAAATTAGTAGGGTGAAACAATGTGAATTAAGGAAGTTCATGAGTTGGTTCATAAGTGAAGTGTCACCCTGCTGTCCTAATTGTGAAGAAAGCAAATTACAGGAAAGAATCACAACCACAAAGCAAAGCATAGGAAAGAATCAAACCAAAAAAAAAAAAAAA